CGCTGCATCCCCTGAGTGAGGCATAGGCCCACTGAGACTCTTGATATCTCTTTATCTTTATTTCCAACTTCCAAGCTACACGCTTGTGCGTTAATTTCGTTGTAAATGAACAAGCCCATGTGTCGAACAAGCAGTGCAAGTCTGGTGCTGCTGCTCCGGCCCTCAGACGATTGAAGCAAGCGCTTGCTTTTCTACCGGAGCAAGCAGAAGTAGAGAGCCCTTAAGCCATAGACTCCATAGACATCGTCCAGAGAGCCGGGGCAGAGGTCTATTTTGAACAGGCCAGGCGTTTTGAGCTTGACGGGCACGCCGTGCTTCTAGAGATCGTGAGATGTTGTCTGCACTGACGGCAGCTTTTGAACACATGCATTCAGGAGAGGCCGAGTATGAGACGAGTCGAGGATTAGAGCAGTTGTGGGAGAGAGCCACCCGTGTCTCAGCGGCTTCTCATATTGTGCGCAGGGTGTGGAGCATCCCGACAGAGCTACCCACCTGATTCCCCAGAAGGCTTCCAGGAAGGTTACGTACCCTGAAAAGCACTCTTGTGAAGAACAAGTCGGTCATTTAGTCAAGCTGTATTGCTTGCAGCAAACCTGGCTGGAAGCTACTGGCGGCCCTCCTTTCGGCACCCAGATTCCCTTGGCCGTGCCGCTTGCAGTCAGTCGGCGGAACCTCATGCCTCGTATTGTTTAGTACAGCAATTCCAAGTTCGGCTCTCCACGGGAAGAGAGCTAAGATTTCCGAGTTCACGAAGAACTGAACTGCCTCAAGGCAGGCGATCTCGAAGCGAGCCACCGCGAAAAGAGAACAGTGTTCTGAGAACAGCTTCAAGGAATGTAGGCAATATCTTCGACTTTAACGCCAGGAGTCGCGGGCGAAGATGCAGCAGTCGCCAAGCACCTCGCAAGGTTTTGGCGAGTCTTGTGCGGACACCTTTTGGATCTTTTCGTGCTATCTGTGGAGTGTAGATACGACCTTTGCCGGTTATGTAGGATACTAGAAGACCGCCGTTTGATTTGAGGCAACCACTCCATGAGTGGGCAGCTTCGCCGAGATCGGGTGCCAAGGGAGGGGAAGGGTCTCGAGGTGTTTCTCTAGTTACTCTAGTTCACTAGTACGGTCTTCGCAGTGCAATCGATGTCAAACCGGTGAGACTTGTTGCTGAATGTCCGGCATCTTGAACTGATCGTAGAGCCCAGCAGCAAAAGGCCTGCGACGTTGGACCACTTGGGCCAAGGCTTAGGGTGTCAGGTTGCTTAGGGTTCGGGGTTGCATCCGACCAAGCGGCGCTCCCTAAGATTTTCTCTCTGATTTCGTTGTCTCTGGAGGAGCGACAGCGAGACAAGTCGCCGCCAAGGCAGTCGCCCGGACGTCAATGTCAGACTTACGGGTGTTCAGCAGCAATCACTGGTCTTAGTAAGATTGTAACCGAGGGGCTTTGGGGCTCAGCTCTCGTAGTGTAAGAAGCTTGACGACCAAACGGCCCAGGAAGTCGCCTCCACGCCCTGCGCGCAGCGGAGGGCTCCACGCTTCAGCTCCTCGGCAGAGAGAGCCTGAGGCGAAGGGAGAATGACATGATGGAGTCATTCACTCCCATCTTCAGATCACGCCCACTTGTCATTTCGTCTACCTCGAGATTTTGCAGCATACTCATCATTTCTTTGATCTTCGTGATGCTCCTCCTCCATGTTTATACAATCCTCGTCGTCGTCACTTTCCTCGCCTGTATCATCTTCTCTTGCCCGATTTCTATGAGCTTTGCCGTCTTCTTGATTGAGCTTGTGAATGCCTCCTCGTCGTCAGTACTGTTGGAATCGTCCTCTTCTTGCTTATCGCTCTCTCATCACATGAACCAGGATGCAGCGAGATCAGTTCTGTCCCTACTAGGTTTTCTGCACATCAGACGGGGTAGCGCTGAGCGGCGAAGGTCGGGGGCAGCACGACGCCGACAGCGCACCAGAGTGCCCCAGAGGAGAGCCTTCCTGCAGGGTTTCTTCTTGTGCCTCCTTGCTTAGGAGGAGGAGTTTCGGGGCCTGAATAACTACTAGTAGTAATTAGTCATCGTGTCGCCTTAGAGCACCGGGCGCGCTAGCATCAAAGTGTACGTGCTTTCAACTGGCTCTGGCGACACCTTAGACCGACAAGTCGAATCTGACATCATTGAACACCAGAAGTCCATAAGCTACAAACTGTTATGAACTCCAAGAGGCCCGAAATGACAGGAGCACTGCGTGCACATCCTCGCCGGACACACGGGGTCGGTGCTGTGCCTTGGTAGCACCGGCAAATCCTCGAGATCAAAAGGGTCGGTTGGGTTGCAATTCTCAGAGAGCTGTGTGCTATGTATCGTCAGGATACCCAGGGTCTTGAGCTTCTGTCGCGACTTGCAAACCTGCACCACCTTCGTGAGGAAGTCTCCGCCATGAAAGTGCTGGACGTTTAGGAGAAAGTCGGGGTGCGGGGTTGTAGAGTCTGGTGCTCCGAACCTGCTCCGAGCCGAGATGTCTGTGCGGCGTCGGGGACATCCTCTTCACTGGGTCCCAGGATGGTGACATCATGATTTGGGACCTCAACAACCTGCAGCACCTTGGGAATGCCAGGGTTAGGCTTAATTGAGAGCCAGGCCGAATGTGCTGTCGGCCCATGGCAAAGCTGCTAACACCTTCGTGCATTCTGGTGATTCTAGTCAGACGCGCCGCAATTGCATGTCCATTGTCCCAGTGCCCTGCAATCACATGACCAGCCTTTGGCCCTAAGTAGCACAAGCCCAGGTACATAGGCACGCTGCCTGGGCACAAGGGCTTCGTCAAGTGCCTGTACGCTAGCTATGCCAAGAAGGCATACTTGAAGGGTCTAGACAAGCGGACACACACACACACATACACGCACACACATACACACGCGTGCACTCTCCGCATGCTCACTCCGCTCTTCTCTGCTTCAGTGCATCCAGTCAGTCACTTGCTTGACTCCGCTCTGCTCAACTTGCACTCGCACTACCCACTCTCGTTCTCGCTCTCACTCATGCTCACATCCAAGCAAAAACTCACTCACTCACTCACTCACTCACTCCACTCCACTCAACTCAACTCAACTCACTCCACTCAACTCAACTCACTCACTCACCCACTCACTCACTCACTCCACTCAACTCAACTCAACTCACTCCACTCCACTCCACTCCACTCCACTCCACTCCACTCCACTCCACTCCACTCCACTCCACTCAGTCACTCACTCACTCACTCACTCACTCACTCACTCACTCACTCACTCACGCACGCACGCACGCACGCACGCACGCACGCACGCACGCACGCACGCACGCACGCACGCACTCACTCACTCACTTACTTACTTTGTGTGTGTGTGTGTGTGTCTGTGTTTGCTGACTGCCTT